TGTGTCTGTGTGTCTGTGTGTGTGTGTGTGTGTTTGTGTTTGTGTTTATGTTTGTGTGTGTGCGTGCGTGTGGGTGGGTGGGTTCGGGACGGGAGTGGGCGAGTGGGTTCGTGGCATTCAACATGGAGTGACTCAATGGTGGTTGTGCCCGTGACTTTGTGCCACAATACCCAAAGAATCTCTGGAACATTGTGAGAGATGTCAAATACGTCACGCACAACCTGTCCTACAACTGTAGGTGTCGAGCGAAAAAAATGAGTCAGGCCTTCAATTCGAACAATGCCATGGTACATTTAACCGTTTCATCTACAGCGCTGGCACAAAGTGCTGGCACAATTTGTTTGCATACAGTGCAGGCACCTTAGAATGGTCTTCCGACAACTGCAACGGAGTCCTGGACGGAGAACCTCCCAACACAACTGCATGAACTTACATCTACGAGTCTTCCGAGCTGAACACAGTGCTGTTCCCGTGAAACCCATCTTCATGCCAAGGTGCCGTGTACAGGGCTGGCGTCCACAGGGTCGTCGATCTTCAGCTTTTGCAGAAGCATGGACGCGGACTGGCACATCACGGCAAGGGTCCAAGGATTGAAAATTACCACGGGCCCACTAATGCATGAGGCGCGCTTCAACAACCCATCCGCGCCTGAGGTGTTTTCTGCGCGTTTTGCTTCCAGATTTGGACTGCTGGGTGCTTCCTTTCGATGTTCCTTTAAGTGTTTGAAGCTTTTGCTTCTAGATCTTTTCCTTTCAAAGCTCTTTACAAAAAGGTCGAAGTCAAAGTGTTGCGTCGAAAGGAGTGGTAGACTACTCCTTTCAAATTTCAAATCTCCTCCTTCAAGGCAAGACACACAGAGTTTAGCCCTCTGGCACCTACTGCCCAAGACTTCAGAAAGAACAGTTTGGTTTTCACTTTCTGCTTCTGAAAAGCCAAAACTACAGAATTTATTCTTGGCAGCACAAAGCACTGACCGTCTCTAATGGTTTAGGTCATGACCTGAGCAAGTGCAAGCCCATGATTGAAATAACATCCATTTCAGAAATCATGCCCTTTTAGAAGTGGTGGCAAGTGCACAAGCAGATGCACAATACACTGTTGTTTCCAGTACTTTTGCTGCTGTGCGCGGGGGGGGGGGGGGAACATGTCTTCTTGTATAAACATATATACTTATATATATGGGTTTGTATTTTTTTAGGGTGGCCGGGCAGGAAGGTTTGAGTACGGGGTATGATTCGCAGGTATGATTCGCGGGTATGATTCGGGGTATGATTCGGGGGTATGATTCGCGGAAGCAGCAGCAGCAGTAGTAGTAGTAGCAGTAGTCGCCGAAGTAGTAGTACTAGTAGTAATATTGTAGTAGTAACAAGAGTAGTAGTAGTAGTAGTAGTAGTAGTAGTAGTAGTAGTAGGTAGTAGTAGCAGTAGTAGTAGTAGCAGTAGTAGCAGTAGTAGTAGTAGTAGTAGTAGTAGTAGTAGTAGTAGTTAGTAGTAGTAGCAGTAGTAGTTGTAGTAGTAGTAGTAGTAGTAGTAGTAGTAGTAGTAGGTAGTAGTAGCAGTAGTAGTAGTAGTAGTAGTAGTAGTAGTAGTAGTAGTAGTAGTAGTAGTAGTAGTAGTAGTAGTAGTAGTAGTTAGTAGTAGTAGCAGTAGTAGTAGTTGTTGTAGTAGTAGTAGTAGCAGTAGTAGGAGTAGTAGTAGTCGTAGTAGTAGTAGTAGTAGTAGTAAGAGTAGAAGCAGCGACTGTAGTGGCGCGGAAGCTTTGAAAAGACTTGGCGCTGGCCTTGGCAAGGCAAGTTCATTGCGCGGGTATGATTCGGGTATGATTCGCGGGTATGATTCGGCTAGGTGCAAAACGGCACTGATTACAAACTCGTAGTAGCTGTGGTAGTAGTAGTAGTAGTAGTAGTAGCAGTAGTAGTAGTAGTAGTAGTAGTAGTAGTAGTAGCAGTTGCAGAAGTAGTGGTAGCAGCTGTAGCATAAGCAGCAGCGGCTGTAGTGGTGCGGACGCTGTGAAAAAGACTTAGCACTAGCCTTGGCAGGGGAAGCTCACTGTCCGGGTATGATTCGGGTATGATTCGCGGGTATGATTCGGCTAGGTGCAAAACGGCACTGATTACAGACTCAGAATGATGTATGTGGTAGTAGTGAGTAGTAGCAGCGGCAGCAGCAGAAGCAGGAATAGTAGTAGTAGAAGTAGTAGTAGTAGTAGTAGCAGCAACAGTAGCAGTAGTAGTAGCAGTCAAGGTTGTAGTCGTAGTAGTAGTAGTAGTAGTAGAAATAAAGGTAGTAGTCGTAGTAGTAGTAGTAGTAGTAGTCAAGGTTGTAGTCGTAGTAGTAGTAGTAGTAATAATAATAAGGTAGTAGTCGTAGTAGTAGTAGTAGTCAAAGTTGTAGTCGTAGTAGTTAGTAGTAAGGGTAGCAGAAGTAGAAGCAGTAGAGTAGTAGTAGCGGTGGTAGTGGTAGTAATACTCGTAGTCGCGGTAGTAGCAGTAGTAGTAGTAGTAGTGGTAGTAGCAGTAGTAGTAGTAGTTGGAGTAGTAGTAGTAGTAGTAGTAGTAGTAGTAGTGGCAGTGGCAGTGGTAGTGGTAGTATTGGGTAGCGCTGGTGGTGGTTGTTGTGGAGACAGTGAACAACACAAAACGGTAGAAGAACATTAGCATCTTGCAGCCTACGTTTTAAGGGGTATGATTCGGGGGTATGATTCGGGGTATGATTCGGGGGTATGATTCGGGGGTATGATTCGGGCAGGTCCCACCTTCTGCCTTTTGAAGCAACTCAACACACCAAAAAAAAACAAACCCATATATATATATATATACAAATATAGATATATAGGAAAGTTGTTTCTGGAAAATGAGAAAGGTCGCTTCCACGAGGGAATTCGTGTGCACGATTTGCTAGTCATTCTGGAAAGAGCAATTGTGTAGCGCTGGAAGGAGCTAATCAACCACGTCCCCTTCCGCAAACCTTCCGCGAACCTTCTCGGCTGCCGTGCGGTGCTACCTGTGTTGCTCATGTGTCCACCTTTGGACATTTTGCTTCAGCGGGAAAAGAAACGCCACCCAGACAGCTACCAGTCCAAGTGTACGGAATGCAAATCCCCCCCCTCCCTCCAGCCTTGGCACTGCTCAATGCTATGCACCAATACTAAACCAAAACTAACGAATCCACAACCAATACTAAACACAATTCTAAGCAAGCAAATTGGATGAGATTGACTGAGGTCCCAGAAATAAGATGCTTCACTTGAACATAGGGAGGAATAGAAATATTTGGAGTGGACAATAGAGAAACAAAGTGCCATTCCATGCACCAATGTTGAGCCGTGCTAAACCGATACCAAACCAATGATCAACCAAACTAAGCGAATGCAACAACCGCAGCACAAAGCAGTACAAAGCAGTGCTAACCAAAGACAAAGCAGAAATTGACAGCGTTCAGGGTGAGGTTGCGCAACTTCAACATCAGCAAGACGAACTGGCCACAAAGCAAGAGGAATACAACCGGCAGAGACAATATCTCAGCCAGCTGACGAATGAGTGGCTTGGCCAACCCAAGCAATCTCAAAGCAGGACTGCCAGTACCAAGCAAAGTCCAAGCAGCTCTAAACCAGGACCAACAAGTACCAAGCAATACTAAATCAACACAAAACAGGACTTACCAGTACTAGGAAACTCTAAGCCGATGCTAAACAAATACTCAACAAAACCTAAATCAATACTCACCCAATACCCTACCAACGTTTCAGCAATTCTATACCAATACCTAACGACGAGGACCGAATGGAAGCGAAGAGAGAATTTCAAGGGCGGTCCAGTCCTGCCCCCAACTTGATTGAGGTGCGGTTGTGCGTTAACCTCCCACAATTTGATTGGGGTGGACCCTTTTATTAATCACTGCTCCATATTCAACAAAAAGACATCAGACATACAAACGGCCAGACAGACAGACAGACAACCAAACATAGAAATGAAACAACACGCAAACAAACACGAAAACAAGAACGAACAGAATCAAACAAACACACACACACACACAAACAACCGCGAAAACACAAGCACAAAAGAACTCGACAAACGTCAACAAAAACACAACACTACAAACACAACTAAACAAACTAGAACAAACAAACAAACAAACAAGCAAACAAGCAAACAAGCAAACAAGCAAACAAGCAAACAAAACAAACAAAACTAACAAAACAAACAAAACAAACAAACAAACAAACAAACAAACAACCAAACAACCAAACAAACAAACAAACACACAAACACACAAACAAGCAAAGCAAGGCAAAACAAAACAATCAACCACACAAATACATAAAACAAACAAGCAAGCAACCAAGCAAAGAACACGAACGCAAAGCAAAACAAACAAACGCCAAACCAACAAACACACTACTCAAAGCACACAAACGTAGATACAAGCAAACAACCAAACAAACAATCAAGCAAGCAAGCAAACAAACAAACAAGCAAACAAACACGCACGCACACAAGGAAGCAACCACATAAATACACAAAACAACCAAACACACAAACAAGCAATCAAAGAAACAACCAATAAATCACTAAAAAAACCATAAATCAATAAAGCATTAAACCAATACATCAGCAAGCAAACAAACAAACAAACAACCAAACACGCAAACCACGATCACACACATTTGTTTTCTTGTCTTGTTTCGTCTACGTCAGGCGCTTCCTTTCGAGTGCCTGGTAGACGATGGCACCGATGAGGCCCGTGGCAAAGGCGCTGCCGGACTCCATGTTGCCGCAGCCCGCGGTGATGGACACAAGGCCGGCCAAGATGCCGTTACCTTCCAATCAGCACCCCTTTGACACGCCATGGAAGCCACTTCATAGACTAAGCCCCGAAAAATGAGGAGACCACCTTTCTACAATCAACACGATGTATGTATGCATGCATGCATGCATGTATGTATTGACCCTTTGACCCGCCATGGAATCCAAGCACCCCTTTGACCATCCCGTTACCTTCCTATCACCCCATTGACCAACAAATGGAATCCACTTCATAGACTAAACCCCGAAAACATATGAGGGGGAGCGTCCCTCTTTCTCCAATCAGCACCCCTTTGACGCGCGGACCCGAATCCACTTCATAGACTAAACCCCGAAAAAATGTGAGGGGATGCGTCCCTCTTTCTCGAATCAGCACCCCTTTGACCCGCGATGGAACCCACTTCATAGATACAACTGAAAGGGCTGTATCAAAAACTACACCTCTATAAATTATGAGGCGATCGTCCCTTGTTTCGCAGTGGGCATGAACTACTTGATCCCACTGGTTTGATGCATTGCCGTGTAAGATCAATGGATAAGGGCAATGTACGTTTGTTTGTTTGTTTGATTGTTTGTTTGTTTGCCTGTTTGTTTGTGTTTTTGTTCTTTTCTCTTTGTTTTGTGTGTCTGTGTCCATGTGTCTGTGTTTGTGTGTTGGCGCGCTGCCTTCTCCGTGATGCTTGGCCTGATTTATCTGAACCTAAGTGATAAGCTGCCCCAAGTCCTTTCAGTTTAGGGTAGCAACTTTGGGCTTGGCTTAAAGGAAAGCCACAAATCACAGCCGGGCCATACTGATTTACGCGACTTGACTCTGTCAGCCCAACAAAGAATCGGTGGCACTTTAAAAGGGACCCGCAAAGGCTTGTTTGGCGACCTTTAGTTAGTTGTGTTGCCTTCTCTGGGGAAACTTCCTGCAGAACTCATGACTTTCCTCTTGGCCACAAGATGTCTTGGGACTAGCTGGCCAATTTCAGTCCCAATGGTCATGTCCTGTATCTCTCTCTCTCTCTCTCTATCTCTCCATCTCTCTCTCTCTCTCTCTCTCTCTCTCTCTCTCTCTCTGGAGGTTTCAACATACCAATCCAAAGCAACATATCATATACGTCCAGCAACACTATGCCAACCTGCAGTCACGTCCCTTCTCCTTTTTCCCCTCCCCCCGTGACTTGGTATGGCTGTCTTAGTGCAGGAGCATCACTTCAGCCCAGGCCACGAACTCGTTGGGCATTGCTTTGGCCCTGTTTTTGGCCCCAGTGGCTTGGTTGATAGTGTTTGCCTCGTCTGGGTCTTGCCTTTCCACACTGCCGATATCCCAAAAGCTCTGCCGTGGCGCACAGACCTCCCACATCGTACTTCCGAAGAACGGCGAAGCGCAGGACAAACACCGTGATGCCTCCCATGTTTCGCCCGCCGTGTGGCGAAATTCGGAGGTGTCAATGAAGCTGGGTTGAAGCGCTTTCATATCGACATCCCACATTAGCATAAGCAGCTCAAACCACATCCTGCACTGCAACCTCGACACTACCAAACAAATGCTTGATTTTGCCCTGAACCTTGAGGTCAAGGGTTCATCTGCTCACTCGTGTGTGGCTCAAAATTCACCCAGGGAACCGAAAACTCGTGTCCTTGTTCCAAGCAAAACTGAGGGGGGGGGGGAACTTGAACTTCAAAATGGGAAGCCCCTCAAGAAAAGGCACTGCAGGGCACCACCAGAGGTCTGAGTTCTTGTAAACACCCCGTGCTGAACCCCGTCTGAGTTCCTCCAGTGGCCGCTGCCAGGGTGGTGTTCATCGCCACTTGCGCTGCGAGGGCGCCGTCGCTGCCGCTTTTCATGCCCAAGGTGGAGCCGGGGTTGAAGCCGTACCAGCCGAACCTGATGCCCAGCTCCGGCTTGAAACAGAACCCGCCATTTTCATTGGGACCCGAAAAGGTTCGAAAAGGAACCTTTGTAGAAGGGTTCGGATCAAGAGAAGGTTCTGAAAACCATTCCGGGTCGGCCGAATGCTTAGCCTGAGAAACATGCCTGGCTTGAAGAAATGCGTTGGCAAAGCTGGACTGGAGAGCTCGTAGCTGCTTCCGTTGAAAAAACAACTTCGAAAGACCGACGAGTTCCCGCACTTGTCCCCGTTTTCCACGTAAAGGGATGGGGGGTTTGAGGCACACCCGTTGAGCTCAGCCCTGAGACATGCGCATGGGTTGAAGTGGCCACGTACACACGCGGCTGAGGCTTGACCGGATCAAACCTTGACGCTGCACGCTTTTCTTGATCTGGGCGTGCCTCTTGCGTAAGCATGCACAATCATTCCGACGCCTGAAAAGGGGCCTTTATCCTGGGTCGGCTCATTTTTACCGCAAACAAACTCGCCATAGACAAGCAAGATCTTTCTTGTCTCAACCTTTGCCTGTGTCTTCCTATAAGGTTCCCCTTCCGGCGCCTACTTTTGTTTGAACCAAGTGTTCGCAAACAATTGTGTTTCCTGGTCGCCTGGGTAAAACATACACCTAGTTCACTTGACTCTCTCTACTTCCCGAACTCGTCAACAAGGGTCTCCAAAACTGGGGGAAATCACTACCTAGAGTCTCCATGACCCTTAAAAAATGGGGTCATTACCCAAAATTGAGGGGTCATGAATTCATTTGTTTAAGGGTCATGGAGACTCTAGGTACTTCTTTCCTCCCCATTAAATTAGTCTTTCGAGGATTGTCTAAGCCGAAGGAGCATCCCCAAGAGCCTGGAACGCAGGAACCCGCTCGAAACCCGCGAGCAAAGGATTGATGGATTGATCCCATAGCTGTTGCTGCTGGAGGTTGCTCCCATATGGGATCTTCCAGCCGATGGGTTTGGGCTCATCTTCCCATTACAGTCCGAATCGGGTGGCCACACCGAAGTGGGGTTTTTCAAAGGGCTTCCTTTTATTTCCGACACAAGCATCAGCTTTGGGCCAAATAGTGTTTACACTCTCTCAGACTAACATGGAAGCTCCCAGAGGGAACCAAGTCTTCCAAAGGGGTCCAGGGAGCTTTCATGGGGGAGGGTAAACCACCAAAAGGAAAACACTGGGACCCCTCCACAAAAGCGAAGCATCGGATTTCTTCAGTCCTAGGCGCCACAGCGCAAAGGTTCCGAAGACCACCAGCGGCAAGTTGTGAGCTTCGAATTCCTACCCCATGCTGCACCCCTTCTGGTCCCAAGGCAAACCAAAAGGAAACCCGGGACCACTATTCATTGATAAACAGCAAATTTGAAGATGGCTTTTTTGGGGATGACCCCTAATTATCAACCATCCGACTGGTGGTTTCCTTGGGGATACCTAGATTCACTGGCAAAACCAGGTGATTTCCAGGTTTGTCCCTTAAGGTGGCTGATTGAGGCGATTTTAAGGGACATTTCTGAGGATGTCACTTCGAACTCAGTACTGGGTCTGTCTTTTTGGAGGTGGTATCTTTTTGGGGAAGTGTTGAAGGCAAAAGCCATGGGGTGCTCAGCATTTGAAGACGACAAGTCTAAATATCACACTAGTCACATAACAAATCAATGTCTTGTTGCTGCAAACTCTAAATACCTCCTGTCGTGTTCTTGTGTTTCCAGTGTCTTTGTGCGGCCTTTTGCTTGCTGTCCTGCTATCATCTGGCCCTCTAAACCTGACCGACTGTCCAGCCTGTAAGCTCGTGTTTCCAATGTGTTGTCTTCCAAGCTGTCTTGCACGATGAGCAATGCATTGACACACCACCGTAGGATGCAGGTGTTCGTCGCCTTGGCCAGCTAGGCTCTCAGGGCCACAGACTAGCTCGCCATGGAGCAATTTTTGCAACGCCGCTCCAAGCCACGGCATGCCCACGCCACGCACCGCACGTTCGACAAAACACGCACGCCTAGGCACACATGAACCAAGACACACACACACACAAAAAAAAAAAAACAACACAGAAGAGATACATGTGCATTGTTGCAACGTGCTTTGGCTGAGCTTCTAAAATCCTTAGGAGATCCCGCCTTATTTCTCGCAACGCCCATCGTTTGCCAACCTGTTTACAGCGTTTCACGTTTCAATGTGCTTTGGTTTGGGGGGGGGGTTGGCCTTGTTTTGGCACATGCCCTCCCCCCATCCACCTCTCCACTCTAGGCACACCTTAGGTAAACGAGTTGGTTGCCCTTCTTAGGTTGGGTCGGTGTCAAAGGGAAGACAAACCCACCACAACTTGACTTGCAATCCAGCTCCAACCCCACCCACCACCCACCCATCCCCCCCAACACCACCCCCCAACCCACCCACCCACCGCCCCAAAGCCCTCCTCGGGATTCACGAAGCGGCCCTTGCGAGGCCCCAGTACCACCGTGCCCGCCAGCGCCGAGACCCCGCCCGTGAGGTGCACCACGCCGCTGCCCGCGAAGTCCATGTAGCCTTAGCGCGCCACGCAGCTGGCTTCCGGCGGGTGCTTGGGTTTTTTTTTACTCCAAGGGGTTGCTCCCAAGGGTTTTTTCCCGGGGGTTTGCTGCAAGGGTTTACTATAGGGGGGTTTCTTCCAAGGGGTTGCTCTCTTTAACAACAGCTTCGGCGGGTTCTTGGGGAATTTTACTCCAACTTCGGTGCTATAGGGTGTGTATTCGAAGGGGTTGCCGAGGGGGTTGCTCCAAAGGGGGGTTATTCTCTTGAACAACGGTTTATTCCAACCATTCTGTTCAACCATTCGTTTGCAAAACGCCGTTAGAAGGATCCCGCGAAATGGGGAAGCTATGGTGTCCACGTATTCCCATGTTTTCAGGCAACCCAGGCGATTGGGCTGAGCTCTCAAAGATGAAGCTTCGCATCTGGGCTGACCCACAGTGCCCATTTTGAGGGTTCAAGTTTGACGACACAATGTGTGTTCACATAACACGATTCAAACTGCAGCCCTCTAGAACAGTTGATTGTCTTTCGGTTTCCCTTACACCAACCCAAAGGGGTTTACTTTTAAGAACCTCCCCCATTTGCAAAAGGCAGTGTGAGGGTTCATGACTATTGCTAAATTTTGGTCCGCTTGTTTCCCATTCAGATCTCGATCCCTTCTGACACCAACGGCTTCCCTTGGTTGCCGGGTGAAGAAACCAACCGCCACGGGCAATTAGGGCATGACTTAGGTCTGCATGAAGACATAAGGCTTTTACCTAGTGCACAAAACTGGACAATCTATTAATATCAACTGGGTACCCTTTCCCAGGAAAACAAAAAGAACTGGGTACCCTTTGGTGGACATAGCTTTCCAGAAACAAAATATGTCCACCCACTCCCGACTTTTTTTTTTTCCAGGGTGTTCCCTATTGGAAATATCATACCCAATAAAAATGTGACGCGTGTGGCAACGAAAAAAAAGACATCGGCGGCTTTCCCTAGGGTAGAGACCTCTGATGGAAACACCGCCGCTTTCCTTAGCGTCAAGAAATCGTCGGCCTGTCAATGGGTGGAAAACGGATTACCGCTCAAAAACGGAATGCTGCCTAGTCGTTTTATTTGCTGCCAACTAACCCAGGTAGCAGGTAGGAGTGACGGGAAGAACAAGTACACTCCCCCAGTACCCTGGAATGGCTTCTGAGAGGCTCAAAGGCGGGTTTTTGGTACCCCCGATGCAAGTTCTTCGAGAGTTTCCCGGACTGAGCAAACATCAACGATTCAGTGCGGCCGCTGCAAGTCGCCTACACACCAACCGACACATGCCGGGGAAGCATGCTCCAAGTACGAGTTGCAACAAGCTATCTAAATTCAGAATTGATTGAACATCCACAAAAGCTTGGCTTTTCCAAATATGTCCTTGGCAGATTGGGGAATTTATGCTGTGTGGATGGATCACAAATAATCAACCCGCGAACCCTTCAGCTTTCGGGCTGCTGTGCACACATGTCAAGTGTCTCATGAGAGCCCCGAAAACAGTTGGTCTCCTGCATCTCTTTATCTCTTTAGTCATCACCTTTAGAACTATGTGCCATCAAAATCCATGGGCGTTCGAACTCGTGACTCCCGCGGCAGTGACATGCCCCTCTCGCGATCGATCCTCAAGGCTCCATATACAGAGGGAGACGCGATTGCAAATCTGGAGAGTAGTCCACCAATTGTGTCACGTTTACTTGGTTGCTGTTGACCCCTGCGAAAAGCTTTTAACATTTTGGGGGTTGAGTGGAAAACCCAACTTGATTTCAACGAAAAAGTTGAAGTCTAAAGATCCAACCCAATAGCAGTCAATTTTAGCCTCCCCCGACATGCGACATGTATCCTGACTTTGCAGAGCCGCCCACATCGAAGAGGGTGGATAGCCAGCCACTGCCCCAGCTCCAGTGCACGATGACAGGGTAGATCAAGCCTTGGGCAAAATGTCGCATGCAGGGGCCAAAATAGCACTGACCTTGTCACACAAGCGCACACACACACACACAAAACTAGGTTGGAGTAAGTTTAGCCATGCGTCGGGAGCAAGATCGGTGGATGTGGTCAATTCCATTGCGATTTGACTCAAACAACTGTGATTTTGTCTTTGGAAGGAATGAACATGGACCACGTCCACCGATCTTAGTCCCAAAATGTGAAAAGCAGCAACAAGACGTGCGGAATGCACAAGCAAAGATGTCAAGCTGTGACATTCACATGCAGTACACAAAGTATGATACAAGGGGTTCCTATATTGCTGTAAGGGTCAACCATGTACAATTCAAGTACCCGCCCCGTCTTGGTCCCGACGCATACCTAAGTTTACAAGACGGCCCCAGTGTGGAAGCGCTCTTGAAGGGGGCCCGCTGTTTCCCCCAAGGCGTAAAAGTCAACACACACACACACACACCCGAAACTCCAGGGGTTGATCACTCTGTGAAAACAAGTTCGCTTCAAGAGGAAAAGGCCACAGCTCAACTGTACTATCCTAAATCCAAACCCGTAATCACGAGGGAACCCCACAAATTATAATAACGGAAACAACTACTATTCTACGGGTAACTTCCATTCTCATTCTTTCCCGGGATCCTTCTAGAAAACCCCCAAAGACCCTGGAGAAATGGATCTGGTTTTTGAAAAGAACGATGGCTGGAAGGTCCAGGAATCAACCCCTATGATGACATATCCAACATGTTTCAACGAGGGGCCTCTATGAGCCTCACAAAGGGGAAACTGAGGCGACACGTGCGCCGAACTGCTTTGGGACTGGTGGAGCTCTGGCACTCTTGAGGGACAGTCGCCCAAAGGGCCCAGGAACCAAAAGGCGATCACCTCTTGGGGCCTTTCCTGTTTGGCGGACTTTGAGCGCACCAGCGCGCGCCAAGTGAAACTCATTGAGGCCTGGGGCGACAGACAGCACTAAAAATAGGCCCAAATTGGAAAGCCGAAAGGTTCAACGGTCGATTCGCGTCTGGGGCAACTGAGACCCCTTTTTAGGCTTGGAAGGAACGAAGGAACACGCGTCTGGAGCTCTCGGGTTCCGAGGCTGATACCGCTTTTGGGTCGCAATAGAAAACCCCAGCCAGCATAGAAATCCTTGAAAAATAGATGGCCACGGCCGATGGAATGAAACCAATCTAAACCAGAGGAACCCGTCTCTTGCCAAAAAGCTAACCCAAAAGAAAACATCTCTGCCGGCCGGGAAAGCCGCGAGTTCCCACGAAATCAGGGCCAAGCAGACCTGAAGATCTCGATTTCCAGTACACCAAGCCCAGAAACGACTACATTGACCCAAG